CCATTTGTAACTTCTAAATCATCCTTATTTGGGAAAGTAGGAAATTTATGTGAATTCTTTACCTTAGCTGCTTCTGCTTTAGTCTTTTTGCGATCTAACTCTGCTTTATACCCTCTTGTCATCACCTTTAGGGCATCTAACATTGCAATAGAGACTTCCTCGAGTCTACTAGCTGTTCTTCCAATTGATGCTGCCATTTCTTGAGTCTGCTTGTTTGACTCCAACATCAACCTCTTCATATCTTCTAAATCCTTATTACCAAGCATTAACATCTTTTCACTGCTTCTAATCTTAATCTTGGTATGGTCACTCTTGTCTTTGAAATCATCATCTGCACCATCATCTTTACCTGCATCTGTATCTGCATCTGTATCTGTAAACATGTAATCTTAATTAGTATCTGGGATTTATTTAACATCTATACATCTTTATACATCGAAATAGGCCTCATCTAACTACTCTTAACCACTTTCATCTTTCATAGAGTGTGTCTTCTAATTATGTTTACAGCTTCTAAATTATTTTATAGTCATTACTTACTCATCGACTGGCCTGGTTTGACAGGAGTTGAAAAGTTTTTCATCCTTTTGGATAACACCTTTACATCCTTATTATTATCGGTTGTTGTTGATGACTCTGAATTACCTTCATCTGTTTGTTGAATCAATCCTTTGCGAAATTGTGACAGACTGTGAAGAGTGTCCACATTTTTCTCAGTCTTAATTTTCAATGCTGGTTCTTGTTCAACATTTTCAGGATTCTGTTCAACATCTTCAAGATCTTCAATCCTTTCAAAACTTCCCTCACTGTCATAATCAACCAGCGGAGTCTTTGTTTTTGACTCTGACATCTATTTCGGATTTTATGAAACAGAATTTAAATTTAATTAAATATACATTTAATTAATAATTTATTATTTAATTAATAATTTATCATCTATCTCTTATTATTAATATTCTAAAATTCTATTCATCTAGTACCCGGTACTCTTCTTAATTGATTCTATTTCGTGCTTCTAAATTAAAATAAACGCACAGCAATTCACTTTAATTTGAAACGCAAGATTGATCATTTACACAGCACCACCTCGAGTATGCACACCTATTCCAACGTATAGTTTTACGCACGGCAATAAAACGACGTTGAAGGCGGTTGATGACGCACACACTCGGGATACATTATGCAAACAAACAACTTCACAAACTATAAGCTACTTGATGCCAAACACAAGCGTCGCATAGCCAAAGTTACCGAAATAGCTTTAATATGTATTTTATATTAATTAATATCGCTGACATGTCAAAATACATTTTTATAATTATTATAATTATTAATTCACTTTTAAAATTTAATTTAAAACATCTTCTAAAAATCAAAGTATAAACATACTATTGTAATACACGTGATTTTCGTGTACTATAGTTATTCTGACGCAGTTGGCCGACATCTTGAATTTTTAGCGTCTACCGGCCTCGCTAGCGATTTCATCATAAAATAAAATGCGATCTACTTAAATTAAATCTATTTGTCACCATCTAATATATTAAAAAATATTTTCAGAAATCTATGAATTTATTTAATTAAATAAATAAGTATTTATCAAATCTTTTTAAGTTATCTAAATTAAGCGTCTATTAAAACGTATTCATTACGTTTTATATTTTCTTTGCATGCATGCTTTTGTTCATCTATAATTACGTCTTATATTCTTTTATTGATTTTCCGGAATATCTTTTCTAAATAAATATTCATAAATAATCTTACCTTGTGATCAATCACTTCACCCAATTTATTTTTAATAAATAAAACACGTACGCAGTGGAAGCGTGCACTGGGTTATCATAACCTGTCGGGTTTATAAATAAAAGTGGAACACAAGGTTTTAATTAAAACTGAATTAAGGTTTATTTAATCTTCTAATAAATATAAAACACTTCTAAACAATCTTAGATATCTAATAATATACATATTATAATGTTAACAATATTAAGAAAAAGTACTTGAGTCGTATCTACGTAGTAGCACGAGATTAGTCAAGCGTCCAAGCAACATGTTCAAGCCACAGCGAGCAAACCGGAGAGTGAGTCGTATGCGCAGCTAGGCTGCGCGTAGACCGACGCTATCTCAGTACAAATAATAATAATAATTTAGTTGTCGCTTTGAGCGGCAAATACAAATATAAAGTATAATAAAGATTTAAATAATTAAGTTACTGGACAAGAAAATCTTGCACTCTTAACAGAAGCACTGTATTAACTCTTAATTTAAAAGTAATAAAAAAGATATTGCACGCCTCATAAGCAAAGCATTGAGATAGTGCTCGACTGCAATTTTACTAAAACCAAGCAATTTTATGAGCTAAGAATGTTTTTATCTTATTCATATTGCACTTATAGAATCAGATGGATGCATATGGTGGTGATTACTTATCCGAAACCTATATTTTTTGACTAAGAAATAATGAATTTTTATTATAACTAAATTTATTCTATTCAATTGTCGTCTGTATGAAATAAATTTTTTAATTCTATTGGTTATGTTTATATACTAGGCAGATATTTTCACTAATGAGACCTGCTATTTTTTTAACTGTAACTTTCAATGCTCATTACAAATTTTTTTTTTTTATATCAATTAATATTCATTTATGTAAGAAAGACCTGGGAATGTTATAATGATTGCACATTGAAAGTTACAATGAATATTAGCTAGAATAATTACATGGATAAAAGGTGCATGCCAATTCGATAGAATTGGGAATCTGTGCAAGTGTCACGAACGGAGTGAGTGATGGGCGTAAGGATTATGAAATAGAAATCTCAAATATCCGAACGTTGTCACTTTGTCCGTTCGGGAGCTAAATTAAAAATTGCGTTGGAGTGTGGAGCGGTACACAAGCTCGAACGTTATCTCTAAGTGTTAACTTAGAGAGAGTAAGGATGATGGACTCTTGCTGACTTCGGTCACGAGTAACCTATTCTATTGCTTAATTCAAATCTTATTGTAATAGAGATCTTATTTTATTTAATTACGTATTTTTGATTCAAAGTAAAAAAATGTAATTCTGTTATTTGAATTTTTATTGAGACAAACCAGTTAATAAGTTTACAAATTTGGGTTACAATATAAATGTTAAATAAAAATAGTCATAAAAAAAATAAACATAAAGGTTAGATATAAAAGATAAAAATATAAAGTAAAATGTTTTTGTACGCTTACCCTGGAAGTCTGCTCTTTCGAGAGTGGCCCAAGTTTTATGGGACTTTCACCTTCTATGGGTATTGTTCACTATTGAATCACCGTATCTCGGATATTCCGGAGAAGTTAAGTAATTTAGATAATAAATTTTAATTATAATCGACGCTTTTTAACGGAAAAGTTTATCAAAATAAAGCTTCGCGAATTTTCACGAAGAAATCCTTAAAATCTAGTCAACGCTCTTCGGCGGAAAATTATCTTCGCGATTTACGCGGACAAATCAACGCTCTCTTGGCGGAAAATAATACACTTCGCGATTTACGCGGAAAAAGTCAACGCTCAGCAGTGGAAATTAATAAAAACAAAAGAAAATTGGAATATAATTATGGCATATATCGAATAGTTGGTTTTATTAGTTTGTACGGCCAGTTCGAGGTATTTATTCTTCGATTTTATAAGTAACCGAGTCTCTGGAGCCAGGCAGAACTCACATTTTGAAACGTACCCTGAATGATTAGAATCTAAGATTTAATTTATTAATTGATAAATTCTCTAAATAAGAAGTGACGCATTCCATAGCGTTCCCATTAAACCTATTACGTTTCAATGGCATTTATTAAAAATTAAAAATATTTTTTAACTTATTGAAAGCCCAAAATTGATGTATATCTTACGTAAGATTTCAGAGGGGGGTGGATGTATCAGTTGAAAATCTTACTAATGCTTATCATGGGGGAGGGGAGTTGTAAAATGCTCCAAATTATGCTTACGTAATTTATGAACAGCCCCTAACAATGTAGTGAAAAAAACTTTTCAAAAATATTTAGTTTATTCATTTGTTTATGAAAAAATTTAGAAACAAATGGCATAAAAAAATTGGAAAAATAATCATTTTATGCCTAACAAGAATATAAAATTATCAATCACTTAGAATTGAAAAATAAAGTTATTTAACATACATTATTTGAATTTTTTATTTTTTTGTTGCTTCAAAAATTTATAATTAATGAAATAAAAATACTGTATAAACTTTTATAACGCCATATCGTTGAGTATGTTTATAAAGAGGGCTCCAAGAAACAAAAAATTTATAGATTAATTCAAACTTTTATACCGCCTGTTATGACAACACAAATCCGTACAAAAAATTTTAATTAACAATTGAATAATTTTTTAAAAAATGGTGATACAACTTTTATTACCGCGGAATCATATAGTTTGAAGTGTCTAGATAACACCAGAATTTTTAAAAATTTTTTTTCACTAGAGTGGCAGCGCGCGCATAACGAAACTGCCGCGCACGTTGCGCACGCATTTCCGTTTATTCTTCGCAGCTGTGTACAACGCGACGCGTAGTCGGCATCGTAATGAAGTTCGGAAATAGACAACACAACTATTCTACTGTCACAAAAAAAAACGAATTTTTATCAAGAATACAAAATAGAATAAATTTAGCAGTCCTATTTTGAATCGTAAGTTTGAGAAGGATTTAAGAGCGGGATTCGAGCCTAACCACTCAAAGCGAGCACATCTCAGCACATTGCTGACTACTTTTCTATAATTAATCTCATTAATTAATTGATAAAACAACACAGATTGACGTCATTAGGTCAACAGTAAAATATTCCTATTGCAAACCAGACCGAATCAGTATACTTAAATAAAAATTTGTGTTTTTAAATACTTTTTAAGGCTGAGGCTTCGGCCCCATGCCCGGAAATAAAACTAACCTCTCTTCATCTATCTCACAGCTGCGCACAAATACTCAAACCAAAAATTCTAACTCTAATCCTAATATCAACATGAACAACAAACTGTCAACTGAAAATTATGAACAAGAAAAAGCAATCGAAAGTGAACAAGCGGTCCAAAACCTTTTAGACACGATGAATACAAACGGAAACGACCAAAATACGTATTACAACTTCACTTATGATGAGTCTATGGATATAGGCAATACAATTGAGATCCAAACACAACCATCCCTTCACACAAATACTAACAACGAAATTAACCACAAAAGACAAAGAGAAAATGCTAAAGACGACCATAACCCAAAAAAGAAAAGCCTCTCACCACCTCTAGCTCAAGCTACTTTTCCAACAGACAACATCTACTTGGAGGATAACAAAGGACCATATGAATTAATCATTGAACAAGATCCAGACAGCACAATACGAGCTCCTACTCACTACCTATCTCTATACAAAACTATCACAGAAATTCTCAAAAAAAATAATGAAATAAAAAATCTTAAAAACACTCGACAAGCTGGTAAAAAAGTCGCCATCACTCTTCACACAAAAAAACGCTGCAAACAATTTAAAAAATCATCCAGACTTCAAAAACAGAGGTCTCATTGCCTATATTCCAACTCACAAAATGGTATGCCACGGAATAATTAAAGATATTCCCCTCGATTTTCCAATGGAAGACCTAAAAGAAGGACTAAACTCAATAGTCGAAGTCATCTCTCTAACTAGATGTCAAAGAGCTGTACTAGAGAATCAGGAAAAGAAATATGTTCCTTCTAAATCCGTCAAAATAAACTTTGCAGGACAAATTCGTCCAAACAAAGTAAGTATTTTCAATGCTATAGATAAATTAAGTCTATATATACACCTCTCCAGTCAAAAGAGGTACAAACTACCTACGTTTCAACCATTCAGCCAAAGAATGTAAAGATTCACCCAACTGTAATCATTGTGGTAACTCACGTGAAAATCATCCTGATCCAACCACCTGTCCACTTATCGAATCACCTCCAAAATGCATAAATTGTAAAGGAGATCATGTATCTCTAAGCTCTATCTGTCCAATTCTTGCTCATCTCAAGGACATTCACAACTATGCAGCAATTAATAATATTAGCTACTCAGAAGCCAAGGGCGCAATCAAGAGCCTTAACCAAACATCAATTGCTCCCAGCACTTATAATCTTGCAGATTTTCCTCACATCTAGAGACCAAGTTTACCCATTCAAAACCCGTCTACACATCTAGGAGACCAAACTAGACATTTTCAAACAACCAATAGATCATTTACGGCTGCACTTCGCCATCAAAAACCACAAAAGCTTACAGCTCAAACAAACAGTGACCAGTATAGGAATAACCAACAATTCCAACAAGAAAGAAACAGTAAGTTTCACACAAAAATATACACTAACTCTACTCTCACTAATCATTCTCAAGAAAATTTGTACTCGCACACCAATTCTCCCAAATCAATCTCAAATTCTAGTTCCACATCAACACCTATAACTTCAACCAAACTAGTTGCATCACTACCTAATTTGACTCCCGTTCAAAAAAACCCAGGCCAACAACCAGAGTTAATCAGCCAAAATTTAATTGTAAATCTACTAAATCAAATCACCAACGTACTAACAATAATTAGTGACAAACTCGCACCACAATTAGAAGAAATTGGAGTAAAAGAACAAATTACTACCATTCAACAATCCTGTAATCTACTAAACACAGCTCTATCCCCTGGAGATAATCGACCAACTGAAGAATTTAACGCAATCACGAGTTTACAATCAAGCTTAAATCTTTCGCAAGAATAATGGCTCATAATTTAATATCAAGCTTAAAATTTTTTCAATGGAACTGCCACAGTGTATTAAATAAAAAAGGGGATCTTGAAAATATCATGCATAATTACGACTTATTAATCCTTTCAGAAACATGGCTAAAATTACAAAACCAATTTACTTTAAAAAACTTCAACATCATAAGAAAAGACAGATTAACTCTAGAAAAAGGCAGTGGTATTGCTATATGCATCAGCAAACATAAAATTTTCAACAATTGATAATTTATATTGCATTGACAACAAACTTGATACTCTAGCTATCAAAATTAATACCACTCACGGTCAACTTTGTATAGTAAATATTTACAAACACCCAACTTTTACTCTTCTGAAAACTCATCTAAGTAATATCATAGATTCCATTAACGCAAACAACAACCCAATCATACTGGGTGGGGACTTCAACTCACACCATACAGCATGGGGCTGCAACAATGACTGTCTAAGCGGATCAAATGTCGTAGATTTCTCCTTCCAGAATAACCTAATCATCCTAAATGATGGCTCTCCAACGAGGAACGTTAACTTTGATGAAAACAAATCTGCAATATATCTCACTTTAGTATCTGATAGTATAGCCACGCTCTGCTCTTGGAAAGTAGCTGAAGATGCCATGGGTAGTGATCACTATCCAATACTTTTATCTATAAACGTAAACCCTGAACACAACACTTTCAAACACAGATTTAACCTCAAAAATATAAATTGGGATGACTTTCAAGATCACTTAGAAAACAAAGAAGAGATGTCCTCGAATCTCCCTGACGCCATAGCAACGTATGATAAACTAAATAGCACAATCACGCAGGCTATTGAATCCCAAAACCTACCAAAAGGACAATCAAACAACCAACAGCAAAATAACAACAAACCAACAAAATCTAAACCTAGAAAGCACACTCCAGCTCCATGGTGGACACAAAAATGTGTTAATGCTATTTCCCAAAGAAAAGAAGAATATAAAACATTCAAATTAACAGGATTATATCAAGACTTTTTAAAAATGAAACAATAAGAGGCTCACACAAAGAGTACTAAAAGGGGACAAAAAGCAGGATGGAAGTCCTTCTGCGAATCATTCAGTAGACAAACACCACCGCAGGTAATTTGGAATAGAATCAAATCTTTCAAAAATAAAAATCTGAATACACCTACACTACTTCCTACCCAAAACACCCAGGACGAAATATACAGGAAAGAATACATAAATTCGTTTAGTCAAAATAGCTCTATATCCTCGTTATCTCAAGAAACTATTGATTATAGATCATCATTAAATTACTTAGATTCAGACCAAGAAAATGACACAACTGACAACATAAACCATAGCCTACACTTCATGAATGAACCATTTGAGCTAGAAGAGCTCACCAGAATAATTAAAAACTCTAAAAACAACTCTAGCCCGGGTCTCGACCAAATTTCTTATGAAATATTATAAAAAATACCAAAATCAATTATTGAAACTCTTGTTAAATGCTTTAATATTTTCTTCACATCAGAGAACTATCCACCATCATGGAGCAAAATTCTGGTTTTCCTACTTCCGAAAAATAACCTAGGTAAATACCGTCCAATATCTCTTGCTTCTTGTATTCTAAAAATCTACGAAAAAATGATAATGAACAGAGTAAATTGGTAGGCGGAAAACTTGAACATCATTCCAAACGAACAATACGGCTTTCGGAAAACAAGAAGCTGTTGGGATAACTTAGCTATTCTAACAACCAAAATCTACCAGACAAGAATTAAAAACAAATACCTAGTTACAGCCCTCCTAGACATAGAAGGTGCCTTCGATCACGTGGTACCAGAAATCCTTATCAAAAAACTAAGAGAAACTAACCTACAACCTGAGTATATAAAATTCTTCAACTTTATACTCACAACCAGGAAGCTACACGTCGTAACAAATGGATCCCTCTTAGAACCAGTAGACGTGGACCTTGGGACTGGCCAAGGACTGGTAAGCAGCACATTCCTCTTTAACTTTTAAATATCTGATCTTATCCACGAAATTCTTCCCTCTTGCACTTTAAGAAAATTTGCAGATGATCTAACAATTGAATGTGAAGACGAAAATCTATATACAGCTTTTAACTCATTACAAGCATCAGTCGATAGAATACACAGATATCTCAAAATAAGAAACTTAAATCTATCACCTACCAAGACTCAAGTAATTATATTCACCAACAAAAATATAAATACAATCTCTAACAACAATCTGTACATTAAAATAAACAACGTGAAAATATACCCTTCAACTACAGTTACTCTATTAGGTATCCAACTGGATAATAAACTCAGTTTTAACCACACTTTAAACACATCATCACTCGTGCTAAGAAACTTTTGGACATCATCAAAGCTCTTAGAGGTACCTGGTGAGGTGCCGACCCGATGTTACTGCTAAACATTTACAAGTCCTTAATCAGGAGTCAATTAGAATATGGATGTCATATCTTCAATACATCAAACCACACACAAATAGATAAACTCAACAAAATCCAAAATGCAGGTATGCGTTTCGCCATTGGAGCTAGAATCTCTACTCCAATTAATTCTTTAACTGCTGAAATTGGTCTTACTCCAATCAAACTACGTTTTGACGAACTTACCAATAGATATATACTAAAAGCTTTCTCATTAGAAAATTTAATCATTACTCAAGAACTGGACAAACTCTCTGACATATTAAGCAAGAAAAAAAGAAGCCCGAATATACAATACCAATTTCCCCTCTTGAAAGCCTTTAAAAAACTAAAAAACTTTGAATCAATAATTCACACTCACCGTCTTCCAACAGCATACCAATACCCTTATACAATCAGACTATACACACCAAAAATCGACATCACATCAGGTACAAACTTTAAAACAATAGCTAATAAAACAGTCCCAAAGAAAAGTGATATAACAAATATAATAACAAATATAAATAATGCTGTGAAGCGGGAAAGAATAGGAGTTACGGATAATTATTACGTGAAGCGTTCCAACATTCACGTAACAGGATAATTGGTAGGAAAGGATTGAGAAAGGATTGTGGAGAGGATCATCTTAATGTGATGATCTTGTTAGACAATTGGGTAGTTTCAATGAATAATGATATTATTTTATGATTTATTGACGATTTTTATTACATAATTATTTATACTTAGTTCCAAAAAATTTGAAAGTAGTGACTTTTTACGTTATACATATGTAAATATTTTTTTTTATTGTTATTTGACTATATCAGAGACTATAAGTTATATTTAATTATTAAATACAGTAATGATAGTTATAATGAAAAATAACTTTATACTGTAAGATTTAATTGCAATGACTATTTTCTTGATTAACTTTAACCAATGAAAATAATTTTTCATGACTGTGAAAATTAGTCAATTTAGAAAAATATAATAATCACGATTGGAGAGCTACATTTTTCGTTCTATACTGTTGAAAGACTAAGTTTACGTATTTTATATTTACTAACTAAAATTTTTTTTTTTCTTTTTTTTTTAATTAATACTACTATTTTGTTTTTATTTATATACAAATTTTCATGTATTAATCATTTCAATTACGCTAAGATACCCAGTAGTTGCTCAGGAACCAGTACCTGATCATGTATTTGTATATCTGTATTTGTGAATATAGATATACAAATATAGAGAGTGAGTAGGTACTGGTTCTTGAGCGACTACTGGGTACTTTACTTTATTTACTTTTTTGTTTTTTAGATCTTGAAATTAAAAATGGGCAGACGTGGTAGGCCTGCAGCTGTTGAAACAAAAAAAATTATTGAAGCCATTTTACCTCGATCAAAGGAAATAATAATTTCCAAAAGTGGAAATATTATTGAAAAGACAAATGATATCTGGAAAACAATATCAGCTAAATTGAAAAATGTTATTTCCCCTTTATCATTGTATTCTTATGTTACTGACAATAGCTTTGAAATTAGAAGCAAATTGTATGAACTTGAAGGCATATTACCTGATATGTCACAAAATAGTATTGATACTACTGCAGAAGATTCTATTAATTTATCTCATGCAAGTGATTCTCGTTCTCATGTAAATATAAAAAGATCTTATAAGATTTTTTTGTCCAAAGAAGTATTTCAAGCCCTGATAATCGTAAAAACTCGGAAACGTCCAACTGGAAGGAATAAAAAAATTGAAACATACAAAGCATTCAAGCCTGGAGTTTGGGAAGATGTAATTAATGATTTACTTGTAGACTCAACGAAAATTACAAGCGGATTAAATTTTGAAACACATTTTATCACAGCAGATGAAAGTTCTGGAACATTTAAAGGTTTGTATTTCAAAGAAAAAAGGATATAGTAACAATATAATTACGAAAAAAAACTGTTTAAAATGGTTGTGAATAGCTTTTTATTAAACTGATTTCAATATGAAAAAAAAGGTCGTTGTATTTTGGTGGTTTAAAAACCACCAAATTTTGCATAATACTGAAATTATTTAAAGAAACGGTTATTATATAATTATTTCATCGTACAATGTAGATCTAGGGGTTCACAATTTTTAACGAGGGGAGTATTGACTGAGAATTTACGATGACAAAATAATATTCTGATATAATTTATTAAAACTTAATAATTAATGCAGCGGGGAGTAAATTTTAAGAAAAAAAACAAGTTCATCCTTGCTAGCGAACATTTGTATTAGCCTGAAATTGTCTTATGTTAACTGACAAAGAAACCAATAAAACTCACTAAAGTCTATTTCATAAAATTTTTTATCCATTTAATTTTTTTTCTCTGTAAATATAAATTTAATTGTATGATTATGTTTAAAAGCATAATATAGTATACCTAGACTAGTCACTGAAGAAGCAAATAGCGCTGCATACAATTTTACTTTTTATTGTTTCAACAATTTAAATATTTATTTGAATAATTCTCAAATTATTCTTAAGAATTTGAAAAAACAAAAATTTCTAAAATGTATTAGAAAATATTCAAGTCATAGTGGAAAAAATAAATGTTAATAATTAGATGCATAAACCCACATATTTTTTAACTGGTTTAACTACAGAAAAAGAATGAAAATCAAAAAAATAATTAAGTACGATTTCTCACTTATCAGGTGACCAGTCTTAACGATCTGCATTTATTGTCAGATTATATAATACGTTTCATATTTCTTACGGCTCATTGTGCCTGTGGCAGCAAAGTCGATGGAGTAATGACAAATGATGACACCAACAAAAAATTTGTCGAAATCATTTGTAATATCACTAAGGGAAATGGAAAATGCGGTAAAAGGTGGCTCAGAAATGAAAAACGAGAACAAACTTTAAAAGATATGGGAGCAAAAACTGTGCACTTATACAGAGCTGAAAAAGCAGCTGAAAAAATGAAAGAAGGTGATATTGAGCCACCAACTTTGCCGTCTTCTCCGGTACTTCAGACTGCCAGAAGCCAGCACAGAAAGAAACAATTTATCGACCCAAATCCGATCAAAGCTCTCCAAAAAATGAAATACGGTGATGCTGCATTCATCGTAAGAAATATAGGCCTAGGTCCATTTTATGTTCACTATTGGTCTCGGCACCAACTAAGTATTTACCGAGATTATGTGAATAAAGGATCTAGTCACTTGTATCTTGATGCAACAGGTTCAATCATGAGGAAAATTATACACAACGAAAAAATTCCACCTAAATCAATTTATTTGTAGCACGGTATCATTGGCTTCGATCAAGTACAGTTTCCAGTCGCACAAATGATCAGCGAAATCCAAACAGTGAACAGAATTACTGATTGGTTGATAGAATGGATTAAGACAGGTGCTCCTTCTCCAAAAGAAATAGTGATAGATGGTGGTCGGGCTATAATAACAGCAGCTGTGCAAGCATTCACGAATTGTTCAACAATTAATGATTATGCTAATGCATGTTATGGCTCAGACTTACCATCATGCTACATTCGAATAGACAATGCCCACTTTATAAAAACTTACGTTGACTTATTGAAAGATGTACCCCGACAAGTTGCTACTTTCTACAAAGCAGTTATGGGGCAATTAATCATTTGTAAGAATCGGGAAATTGCAAAAAAAATAATTCGATCATTACTGTTAGGTATCCCAGTGTGAGAAAGATGGTAATTTACGAAATGGAGATGAAACAGAAACAGAAAAGGCTAAAAATTATTTGATGACACTCATAACGGATGATAACGTAAGATGTTGTATTTGAAATATAGAGTAAAAATTAATGGAATATTTGATTGAAACTAGTCCATATAATACATTTGTTCAACACGATAAGTTCTTAAAAAACTTTCTCCCGTAAAAACATTTTTTATATATTTTATAATTTTTTTTTGTATATTTTGAATTTTCTGTTTTTTTTTTTTTTTTTTTGTTTTTTTTTTTTCAATAGATTTTCATATTCTTTTTTAACTTTCCGCTAAGAAAATCGAAGATTTTCAAAAATCGAGAAGTTATTGTTTTCACCCCGTTTTACAAAAATCGAGTTTTCATCAAATCTCGACGTTTGAAGGTCACAGGAAGCTTCCCTGACTATCCCCGCGAGGTTGTCACTATGTCTGTATGTATGTATGTGTGTGTGTGTGTATGTATATATATATATATACATACACACACACACACACACACACACACACACACACATATATATATATATATATATATGTGTGTGTGTGTGTGTGTGTGTGTTTTTTTTCCCTTTAGAGGGGGGAATCCTTTTTACGGATTCTAGGCATAGATGTTGGCCCAGATATGTGGCGACTCGACGCAGCGTCATACTAAAATTTGTTGCTGACGCCCCTACCCACTAAACCCTAAACCCCTTTCTCTTCTATCCTCTGATCCCCCATGGTACCGCCGTAAGGCATTTCTTCGCGGGAGGAGAAATTAGCTGCCGCTCTTCCTTCTGGTGGCTAAGATGTTATTTCTTCCTTCTAGTTTCTGTCATTCGCTCTTTTCCTCTCAATGGATCGCAACTCGGTAAGCACTTTTGTAGCAAAAGTGCTTGTGGCGTTCCAGGCAGCTTCTGATGACAGCATTGCTGCTACTATTATCTCTGGTTGGATTTTCCTCTTCAGGATATTCTCCAGCTCATCCCGATGTGGGTAAAAACGCGAGCACTCAAAGAAAACGTGCTCTGCATCTTCGTGTGTGTAAGTATGTA